CCAGCTATAGATCCCAGCACACGTACCTTGATCATTTGCGGGTACCCCAACGTTGGCAAATCATCTTTCATAAATAAGGTTACTCGCGCAGACGTCGACGTTCAACCATATGCTTTCACCACCAAATCACTCTTTGTTGGCCATCTCGACTACAAGTATCTCAGATGGCAGGTCATCGACACCCCTGGTATCCTTGATCATCCCTTGGAGGAGATGAACACTATTGAAATGCAGAGCATCACTGCACTTGCACATCTCCGCAGTTGTGTGTTGTACTTCATGGACTTGAGTGAACAGTGTGGATACACTGTCGAAGCACAGGTAGCGCCTCACCTATTACCATGCGATTCGCACGCGCATTCTGACCTGTTTCAAAGTGCAAGCTGTTTCATTCTATCAAGCCTCTGTTTTCTGGAAAGCCTACGATGCTGGTCATCAACAAAATCGACGTCACACGTCTAGAAGACCTTCCTCTTGAGACTCGCGCGCTGGTGCAAGAGATCATCGACACTGAGAATGTGACATGTGTCCAGGTGTCGTGTTATTCCGAAGATGGCGTCATGGATTTGAAGAACAAGGCGTGCGACGCCCTTCTAGCACACCGCGTTGAGAACAAGCTCAAAGGCAGCAAGATCAACACGATTGCTAACCGCATCCACGTAGCCGTGCCGAAACCGCGCGACGATGTCGTTCGGGCTCCGTTCATTCCGGATATTGTCAAGGAGCGCAAGAAGTATGATAAGAATGACACTGACCGCCGCAAGCTTGCGCGGGACATTGAGCTCGAGGAAGGCGGTCCTGGCGTTTACAATATCAATCTCAAAAGTATGTTGGTAATCTCTCGACATAGACTGTGATGCTTACATTCGTTTTCTAGAGGACTACATCCTCAAAGACGACGAATGGAAGTCCGATGTCATCCCGGAAATCATGGATGGCAAGAATATTGCGGATTTCATCGACCCCGACATCGCAGATAAACTCGAGGCCCTGGAGCGCGAGGAAGAGCGCTTGCAAGCGGAGGGCTTCTACGACAGCGACGAGGATGATATGGTAGATGTTCTTCCTTGTTTTCTATTAGCTCTTATTGAGTCCAACTTTGCGTCCAGAACGATTCTGCCGACGAGCTCGAAGCGGCCGAAGCGAGGGAAGCGTTGAAACACAAGATGAAGTCGCAATCACTCAAGAAGTCCAAGCGCAACCAAGCACGTTTGCCGCGTACAGCTGGTCTTCGCACACTCTCAGAGATGTCTGCCGAGCTCACGAAGGTGGGTCTGGATCCCAGTCGAATAGAAGAGCGCGCGCGGATCCTCGCCAAAGCGCAAGGGCAGAAGCGCAAACGCGGACAGGACGAGGATGTTGAGATGGCGGATGCTGAGGACGTGGATGGCGATGACGCGATGGAAGTCGACGGCGAGGATGCGACGCCATTGAAATGGGTGAAAACAAACTCGGGCAAAGTTGCCGCGGTCAGCAGCAAGCGGCATCCGAGAGCGAATCGTCAGCTGGCGGGTCTGGCCAACGAAGAGGTTCGTTCGTCCGTTTTCAAAACTGGCATTTCCTGACACCCATTCTTACTCAACAGCAAGCAACAAAAGCAGTCAAGCTGCGCAACTACGGCCAGCGGCCAAGAAACTTCCTTGCCCGAGCTGGCGAAGGCGACCGCTCCATTCACGTCAAAAAGGTACGTCAAACGCTTCAAGCCGGATAATTTTGTTCTCATTGACATTTGTACAGCCGAAACACTTGTTCGCTGGAAAGCGCAAAGCCGGGAAGACAGACAGGCGGTAATGACTTGTTTAATTCTGGGTCTCGTTTTGTCTGCTTGTACCTGTTTGTGGAGCAATGCTTTGTGGAACAATGCCATCGTTGTTCTGAGTAATGTCGTAAGCCTCCTACGCACTTCTGGGCTGAAGATGTACGGTGCTGGATGGTATGCGGCTTCGCTCGACCCATGTTAGCTCAAGTTGAGATCCCTCAGTGAGTGGTCACCCTTCCCTATTACGCGGACGGTGCAGGTTCGAAGTTGTGAAAAACATGCAATAAACTCCATATATCGGTCTCATCGACGTCGGAAGGATTTATATAACACAACACAAATTTTCATGAATTTTCATACACTTCCCAAAGCTATCTCTCTGAGTTTCTAATTTTTAGCAGGGGCGGACGGTCTGTCTGCTCGGCAAAGGCATCGATGGGCCATCAATGCAAACATGACCAAACATCCGATGGTTGGCAGGCGTTGCTCCATGCCATTAATATCAGTGGAATTGCGGCTCCCCAGTCTCTCGCCATCATCTTCACATCAGAAAGTTCAACTTGCTCTTTCTTCGTGTCCTAAACATATGGCTGCAAACAAGGAAATCGATGACCAGGTTCGTAAGGATATTCGTACTCTCAGCGCCACCCTCACCCGCGAGACGGGGGTCTCGCCCTTGGCTACCTCATCGGATGCTCGCGAGCATTTGTCAGACGTAGACGCCATTGTAGCATTGTTGACTACTGCGACGGACGATGACGAACTCGGCAATCGCGTCGTTGCGGTTACTGCCTCGCGTCAGGCAGGCTGCATTGAAACGCTCCTGGTTACACGCAACCCGCGTGGTGACTACGGCATCTCCGAAAGCGTCGTTGGTGTCAAAAAAAGTGATGACTCAGTCGAGGCCATCTTGGCAGGCTGGAAGAATTCGTGCGTGCATTTCTGCTGCCATTTTTTTTTTACGCTTGATGTATACTATTATGTCAGTGATCCTGTGCCGTGGGAGGATTATGTTCGCGACCTGATTACCTTGATGAACGACTGGCACCTATCCGATGCAGACGAACTTTTGAAGCTTTACACGTTGCATCTCCTTATCCTCCGTCGCTGCTACTATAAACTCGTTGCGCGCATGCTACTAGGCGAAAAGCTTTGGGGTGGTGACCCATTTAGTCTCATCCACAAATGCCTGACGACTCAGCCCGATGAATCGTTTGAGCCTTTCACTGTTGAAGTTACCCTAGGTTTGGCCCAGCGCCGGCTCCAGAAGTGGAACATTTCCCCCTCGTCGACACCCGATATGTATACTGTAGATCGTAACAATGTGACAATATGGTTCAACTTTCTACGCAAGCAGTATTCTAACGTACGGCGCTGTCTAGTTGAAACCGATAGCGGCAAGAGTCGGGCGCGCAGGTCCGTATCGGACGACGATTTCCAGGAAGCCGCAGCGACTCTCGGAGTCCTCCAGAATATTGCAGCTAGTAGGCTTGTTCCAACCGTCATTGGCGCTGTCCCAAAACTTTGGATCACATTTGCCAAAAGTCAGTGTTTTACTCTACTGCGAATGCCGCCTGATCTCTCTCCAGAGGATATTGAGGATGCCCTCGAAGTGATACGTAAGCGCTGCAGGCTACCTTGACGCTTATTTCCGTCAGTCCTGACTGCCATCCTAGCTGACGATGTCTCCGATGTGACGAGCGAAGCCTTAGCGCGTAATCGTGTTGATCGATACCTCCGGACAATGATGTCGCCTATCTGGGCAGTTATCCATCTTCACCGAGTTGTCTTGTCCCAGCCGCCTAGTGTCATCCGGGCGTACATTGCTAGGGTTCCCGCAATCGAAAAACCAGTGCAGATCGCTGATATCGACGACCTCGTCGGGCGTTTGAAATGGGACAACGCCTCACAGATGGAAATGATTGAATGGTTAGAAGAACATAGATTTCAAAGACATGCAAACCAGCACGCAGAGGCCGTGTTGATGGGCCTTTTATGCCAACAGTCGTCAACATCGGCCATGTTTGCTTCTAATGAGGTTGGTTTCATCTCTGAAATAACTGAGCTGCTTGACTGATGTTCGCTTAGAAATTACCCATTTCGGTTGGGCGGCGCTGTTGCTTTTGCTGTTACAAGCTCGGCCAGCTCCTTGAAAATGGTCGCCTCAACAACGATGACGATCTGCGCACACACATGCCTGCACTTATACTGCCTGGCACGCACGGTGTTGTATATGGTTGGGTGGCCCCATCTGGTATACCGACATCAATTCTCCTTGTGTTGAAAGGAGAACTATTGGAAGTTGTGAAAACGGTAGCAAAGCGTGCCAAAACGTCTGTGCTGAGCAGCCCACGAGGTCACAACACGCCGCCGGAAAAAGAAACCTATGACTCAACCAGCGCACTTGTACGTTGTCAGGTAATAATACCAGGATTATAGCACTGAACTGATCTGTCTTCTCTTCAGTGATCACATGGCAATCGACGCATTATTGAGCAATAGTTGTAGGGTACAGCGTCGCCGGACGGCGGAGGTTAGCGGCACGCGGCACGCGCGCCACTCAGTACATCACTACTCATGAACAATAACAACTCTGGTCGTTTGTTCTTGCTTCCTTCACTGAAGTAAAATGGCCCTAAAGTGTAAAAGATCCGAGAAACAAGCAAGCATTCCATATGAACATACGACAAACAATATGCTAAAATGTCTTCAGACACGACTATACAAGCATAATACTGATCATGACCTAAACTAACTACAGACGTGAATGAGATGATCAAAGTGGGAGCAGTACAGTGGGAAGAAACACAACAAGACACCTCAGTCATCCATCTCAATGTCAGCGCCTGCAACTTGAAGGTATTCACGAGTAATCCTCTCCTTGTCTTTGCGGTCCCGCTTCGTCTGCTCCGCAGCCCGCCACAAGCCCACCTGCTTGTCAATCTTGTTCACCTCGCCAACGAGAACACTCCTGGCCAGAACTTGTGAGGACGCTTCAGAGGTACTCTCCCAGAGGACGGAAAGGTTGACCTCGATCTGAAGAAGAGCTGTGAGATTCACAATTTGGGGCGTCATACAAGCACTTACTCTGTGGGCAATTTCGCCCACTGATGAGCAAAGTGCATTCCGCACCGTCTCGGTGGCTTGGTCAAGCTGCCATCCAGGATGACACCGGCGCCATCTCCCACACACAGTAACACAAGTTGGTATTTTCCCCATAAGTAGCTCCCTTAGAGCTGTCGGCGCTGTAGCCAAGTGGTTAAGGCGATTGATTCGAATCATCGATATGATCCAAGCGATTATCAATTCCACTTTGTGGGCGCAGGTTCAAATCCTGCCGGCGTCGTTCCAACCATCAACTGTACTTTCCTTTTTTTCTTAATTCAGGCATATCTGTTCAGATTCTTAGATCATGTGGATCTTGTCGTGCCCTGCGTTATTATAATATCGATGTGGCTGCGTTTTTGCAAAGCATTTGTTCGCACTGACAAGCTTAAGGAAAGTCTGCTCGCGCAATTCTGTCTTTCCGCATCCCATCTCTTCCCGTTTCTCGGGGTCATAGTTTCATCGCGGTAGCCTCCGATCGATGCGACAGCAGCCGCTTTCTTCGGGGAATTACCTGTTCAGACTTCATGTGCATGAGCACACTCAAACTTGTTCCCATTTTCGCTCGATTGTAGCCTCTATAATGTCGGAGAAGCTGGTCTTGCACTATCTCATCGGAGATATCCGGTTCACCTCCGCGCGCATACACAGAACCGGTCGTGTGGCATCTTGACTCTGAGTTGATTGTAGCGTCTTTCTGGTCATCGTGCGGTCTCCAATGCTGTCTCTGATACTACTAGTGTCATGCTGTATACACTAGAGCTGACCGCAGACTCGCGCGTGCATGGCGATCGAGTCCGCCCTTCCGTAGGTAAATCTGCCCGCTAGGTGCCCCGGACGTGTCGCCGTCCAGTCTCGTCATGGGCAAGCCCATAATGTCGTCGATATTCCGCAAAGACTGTGTACGTACACTTTCTGTTCCCGTTCCTCTTCGTGCTTTCCTTGTACCCGTTCCGTCCGCTTCCAATCCTTCCGACATGCCTGTCCTCTCCGCTTGATGACTTGTGCAATGAAACGTTCTCTTTTACCGTTTTGTTTTTACTGCGCACCAACCAACTTTCTTCCCGTACTCTCCGCTCCTTCCGTCCGCGTCTCCCTCTTCTCTCTGCGTTTGCCCGTTTCTTCCCTACGTTCTCTCTCTGCACTTGTTCTGTTCTCGCTCCGGCGGATTTCCTGCTCCTCTGCCTTTGTTTGTAGGCTATACCCGCTTTCCCAACCCCGACCGCTCCGACCCGCTTGGAATGTCTGTATCGTTTGCCTACCGCCTGTGCTGCTCCTTTTCGAGACTAACCCGTTCCCGCCCCCAACTTTACCCCTTCATCCATCATTTTCCTCGTCTCATTCACTTCCTTACAACGACCCCACTCGCCCCGTCGTCTCCAACACATTCCGTTCCCTCCACAAATTGCCCGTACGCACGGTACCGACATTTCCCGATTCCCACCACTAGACTAGACTCCTTCGTGCGTGTGTGTCCGTCCAGCTCACGGATTCATCATCCGTGTCTTTCCTTCTTTTTTAGTACAGGCTTTTCGCATACATACACGTCTTTCCTGTTCTCGTTGTCATTTCCTGGATTTTTCCCGTTTTTCCCCATATATACATATCTAATTCAAGGAGATTTACATAACCAGTCAGTCTCACCCCGAGTTCCCCACTTCCGCCCGTCCGCCCGTCCGTCCGTGAGCCTGTGTCTGTCCATCTTCTGACTGTGTAGTGCGACCACCTGATTCTTTTCGCCGCCCTCCCTCATGTACCAACAATCATCGCCACAAGTTGGTGTTAGTTGCCGTAGCCAAATGGTTTGAAGCTTTAAGGCGAAGGATTAGAATCCAGTAGTGGATATATCATGCGCTGTCAATTCCACTTTGTGGGGGGGTGCAGGTTCGACATCCTGCCGGCGTCGTACTGAAGCGTTACATGTGGTTTTTTGATTTTCTTTCTCGTCACTTGTTACCTACCATTTTCCAGACTTCAAGACTTGCACGAGTGTGCTGTATGTATGCGCAACACCGTTCGTTTTTTTTTTCAGGTATCACTGCATGAAGTCCCAGTGAGAAAGAGGACATGGGGTAAGCAAATAACTAACTATGTGTAATATGTATATAGTGGAACCGCTTTGCCGGATTGAACACTTGATTGAAATGACGACGGCGAGGCGACCAGCAGCAGCATGCCACACGAGTAGCACAGAGATCGACCACGCTGGGCTGAAGATTCGACCATATTCACGCAGACAGACAGAAGCTTATGGAATGATTTCAGCTAAAAAAGCACTCGAACTCTTTCTCATTCTGGCCCGACGAAGGATCACAAGCAGGTAAGCAGAACGGAGATGAATATGTTACTCCCGTATCCCCAGAGGAAGAACTTATCGAGGGGACCGATGGTTGGTGGTAGCACGCTCGGCGATGGCCCGCGGTACAAGAAGACTGGGAAGGGCATAATACGAGGCTAAACGAAATTGGGTGATGCGGAACAACGGCAGACTCGCAAGCAGGAAGAGTACTCCAGGAGGGAAAGCAGAGATATGCAAGAGGGAACAGCGAAGGAAAAGCTTACCTATAGCCATCACACTCGGATACGTGCACAGAAGGAGTGTCACACATAAACCTGGTAGTCGCATGGGAACATACACGTTAGAAATAGAGAAAAAACATATATATGCTGCTGCTACGTGTGAGTTGTGTACAGTGTACATGTTTTTGGTTGCTGCCCGCCAGCCATCCGATGAAAATGCGTTCTACCAGTCAGCGGCGGTATCGGCAGCCCAATCGGTAGCACCTTGGGCGGGAGCTGCACCTTGGGTAGCTGGCGCGCCCCACGAGGCGGTGGCATCCTGGACGGGGTCGGCTGCCCAGTCGAGGGCACTTGCGTCCTGGAGCTGGGAGGTGTTTGGCACGCCGCCTGCACCGACAGCCCACTCCTGCTGGGCAGCGGCAGCGGCGGCACCGACGGGCCAGACCTCTGTCCAACTCTGAGGGACGTCTCCCCAGTCGCCACCAGCGCCGGTGGGGGCTGCGACGTCGGGTTCCTTGGCGGCCTGGAGCTGCTTCTCTGTCTCGTCTGGGTCGCGGTAGAAGAACATGTCGACCATGACGTCCCAGCCGTCGGGTGCGCGGGGAATTGTGCCGCGCAAACGCAGGACCTCGCGGGCGAGGAGGTACCAGATGCAGCCGATGGCGTGCCGGGATTTGTTATTTGTCGGGATGGCGATGTCAACGTACTTCATGGGCGCATCAGTATCGCAGAGGGCTATGACGGGGATGTTGACGTAGGAAGCTTCGCGAATAGCCTGGTGGTCGACGCGCGGGTCAGTGACGACGATGAGACGGGGCTCTTTGAAGGAGCGGGTGATGTAATTGGTGAAGCTGCCGGGGGTGAAGCGGCCTGCGATGGCCTGTGCGCCGGTGTTGGCGGCAAACTTGAGGACGGCGCGGTGGCCGTAGGGGCGTGCGCTGATGACACAGACGTCGTTCGGGTTCTCGACGGCAGCAATGACGCGGGCGGCAAAGACGAGCTTCTCCCAGGTCTTGCCGATGTTCAGGACGTGGATGCCGTCTGCTCGGCGCTTCCACACATAGCCAGCCATGAGCTTCTCGCAGTTCTTCGTACCGATGTGGCACTGCGCCGCCAGCATCATCTGCATCTCCTCCTCCGTCGCAGCCAGCACGGCAGGCAGCGCAGACGCAGGCGTGCTGTCCATCTGATCCACCATGTCAGCATCCACTCAAACTCAGCACAACGGAACGCACAGTGGTAAAAGAGTTTGTGCGGGTGTCGTCGACAGATGCGTTGATGCTTCTCTCGTTGTCGTCGTCGTCGGCAGGCGCGTGCTCACTGTCCTCGCCGTCGTCCACAACACAAGAGCAGCAATGATCGGTCGCTCCTTGATCCCATCAATCCAGATCGCCCATGGCCCACTGAACGTTCTTTGTGTTTGCCACCTGTCTCCTTGTGTCGCTTTCTCACTCCTCGCACCTACAGTCCTGGTGCACGCTCGGAGTCGTAGTTTCACTCGCCCCGTCGTCCTCAACTCGCGCGTCACCTGTCTTCTCCTTGTACTCAGCCTCTTGGTATTCCAACTGTAAGAATACGGTGCGTCTGTGCAACGTAGATACTAAGCTCAGTGCGCGAGAGAACAAACGGCGCGACTATATTCACCTGTGCAACGTAGATACTAAGCTATGTACATTTTAGTTATGGTGATTACCTGCCACTACACACTCAAGTGGTACACCACTACTCTATCTTGCTCTCGCCGCTGGTCTTCTCCCACTCAACGGTCCATTTAATGCTTCTTCTATTTTTTTCCCTTGCTGTATTCGCACCAAACGCGCACTCGCATCCCATCTCTCCAAGCCCCATCGTTTTAGTACGCATCCGTTCATCGCCTTTTTTTTTCGTTCAACTATCAGTGACTTTTTGCTCCTCCGCTTCATCGAATAATTTCCATTCATAGAGTGCGCATTGGGTACACATGTATATACGTTCGCGAGCGTAATCCGTAGATAAAAGTAATCAAATAAAAGGAAAAAAGGGAACCCAGATAGCGACCCTCGATCAACAAACCCTTGGCAGAACGGGCGGGAAGTAAATGACGAAAGATAACTGGAGTCTGGAAGACATGATTCACTCGTTACGCGAGCAAAGTCAATAGGGCTGATGAGGAACAAAAACGAATCAACATGAAACGACGCCGGCAGGACTCGAACCTGCACCCACAAAGTGGAATTGATGATTCTTTCGATATGTTCACCTAATTCTAATCAATCGCCTTAACCACTTGGCTACAGCGCCGCAGAAAAGAGGAGCCCTACGTTACACCATGAGGGTAGCCATGCCTGAAAACACTGCAATTATGTGGAGATCGAGGGCTATATAGATTTGAGAGCAAAGCTTGGAATTATGACTGTAGGAAATGAAAGATATGACTTGCAGACGTGACAAAGTCGGTGAACGTACTTATACTGCTGTAAGTAACTCTTGTTTGACTCGTTGGTCGGATCCAGGTCGATCGGTCATGCCAGTTGCCCGTCGGATGATCATATGGCATATCTCGAAATAAGAAGAAACACACACTTCTTGGGCAGCAGTGATCTTCGGCCCTGTAAAGAAATACTCGGAGGAGCGATGTCAGTATGTAGAGCTTTGAGGAAGTCTGGACAGTGTGGATGGATCCGCGCTAGAAATCGAAAGCGGTAACATGGTCGACTGGTGCGACCCAAAACCAATATATAG